AAAATCTTTTTCGTGTAATTTTTCTTTTTTTACTTATAACTTTTCTTTTTTATTGTTTGTCGTTTTGTTCAAATATATCCTATTGTTTGTTTGTGTAGAGTGATTACAAGATTATATGTTTCGTTGTTTATTTCACAATTGTGTAGTACGATTGTTTGTTTTTTTTTCCTAAATTAGGTTTGACATAAGGTTTAGGATGATGAATGCGAGGTTGTTATTCGTCATTTTTAATATCCTAAACTGTTAGTCCTTACAATTGTTTGTGGTTAGCCTAACTTGGGTCTTGTATTCAGGGTTGGAGAGAAAAGTAAAAATCGATTCCGGAGAATGATTGTTACTTTCTCGTGGCTAGTCTAAGTTAAGATGTTAACTTACCTAATCTTACTTAGGGGTAGTGATTGTGTTCAAGGGTTGGAGAATAGTAAATCGATCCAAAAGGCTCAGGTATAATTACAACGCAATTAGTTCGTTAGATACTATTTTAAACTTACCAAGTTTAAGTATTAGCCTCGGTCAGTTAAGAGGAGGGGATCAAGTGAAGGATGAATAAGCGAAGTTCTTCACTGTTTATCCTAATTAGAATGGTTAGATTGGTTGAAAAATTTCGATTAGTCCTGGGTCTGGGAAAGGTCTGGGTAGTGAATCGACGTTTGAGGTCGTTAGACACTTTATTAATTGGGTGGGGGAGAACAACAATATTCTATTTGATCCAAGGATAAGCCTTGATGGTCAGGATATAAATTTAATGATTTAAAATTAATTGAGACAAATGTGAAATAGAGATCTGAGGGAAGCCTTGATGATCTGTTCAATTTAAAATGAATTTAATTTAAATAGAAGTAAAATTTAGAAAAGGCCTTTAGAAAAAACTTTAAGTTTAATTGAAAGAAAAGTTTAGTTTTGGATGATGTTAGTAGCTTATGATTTGCTGTTATGTTTAGGTGATGAAGCTGGAGATGACAAGATGATTTATGTAAATTAACAATTTGTGATAATACTAACTAGTTTTTATAATTTTACATTCAATAAAAAATTTTTATCAAACATCTTTTTTTTTTCAATTTTACTGCAGTTTTGGAGGAAACGATTAGAGGTCTTTTATCAATCGTTATTGTACAATAATAGGTTTAGCGCCTATTATGATCATTGAAGATTTTTCTTCAAGGATTCTTTGTTTGCAAATGAAAATCTAAATTCCTTGCTATCAAAACTCTAAATATGAAAGTTTGTGTTGGCTTTTGCCTTAGGACCATGAAACTTAATGGTAGGTTTCTTTGGAGTCGTATATCGTCTCTTGTCCGAGGTCTTCTTCCAATACGGGGTAGTTTTTGTATTGTTCGGAAGGATGGCTCTGATCTATTGAGTCGTAGAGACATTTCTATTAAATTATTGTCATGTAACATCATTGAAATTGTTTTGTCTAATTCTAATCTTTTTTGTTAGTTCTAAGCTTATTTGTTTTTTTAGGTCTTTTTTGGCACCAGATGAGTTGTGTTCTTAGGTCTAACTCATAGAGTAATTTCAGATAGGTTACACCGTCTGCTCGTCACGCTATCTTATTTTTGGCCGGATAGATTCGTGCAACTTCTTAGTCTAAAACCGATCTTAATCTTACTCTTTTATCTCCTAGTCTCAATTAGTCTCAATAGATCTAGATTATACTGGTTTATTGCGAGTAGGTCTCTGGGAGTGGCAACTAGTTCTAAGTTAAATTCAAAACTCTCTGGTGCTGAAATTACAAGCACTTTCAGCACTTACAAATAAATGGGTTGTTAGTTTGATGGAGTATGATTGGTTAGTATTAAATATATTATAGAGATAAAATATCTAATTTATAACCAATAATAAATTATAGTTTAGATCTGGTTCCATTAAAAAGATATTAATAAACAACAGTTAATGATTTGATCTGAGAAAGTAATCATGATAGTGATAATTATATTTTTAATAATATTCTTATTACTCCCCTCCCTTCTTTCAGGGATTCGACTCCTTCCCTCGACAGGATCTCCCTTTGGTGCTATATTAGCTCATCCATTTTTAGCCGATCGACATTGAAGTTTTTCTAAAGGTGCTTTCGGCGTCAATATAAAATAATTTCGTTCGAGCAATGGGGAGGGGGAATTTGAAGTTGCGCCAAAACATTCAAATTTTTGCGCTGATAGCTAAAATTTTGCTTAAACAAACTAAGGAATTTACCAAAAACTTTGTATTTTCCCCAGATATTTTTTATAAAAACGTGGATATTTGGTTGCGGTGCAAATTTTTGTTTCCAATTATATTGTTCTGTGCTTTTTCTTAGTTGGATGCAGTTGATTTGATGAATGAGCCATAAAAACTAAATTAAACAAAAAGAAAAAAAAACGAAACAAAAAATCTCAGAAAAAAAATTATCGAAAAATCAGGCCAGTTTTTTCAAAAATGAGACAATTTTCTCTATTTTCGTGGAAACATTTTTAATACTGCAAAGGCTTTCAGCTGCGAATTAGACCTCAAATTATTCTTTTTTCCAGAAATATAATTGAAACTCAGTTTAAAAGCTTTCGCACATGTTTTTAACAAATGTCATAATAGCATTAGTTTCTGCAATGCGCAAACCGTCAATGAAAAGCTACCAAGCCTGCCTAAAGACAATGCCTTTTCTATGATTTGCCCTCATTCAGGGCTAAAATATATTATTGAGCGACGCTAATTTGTTGAGCCAACAAATTTGCTATAAAAGAATCACACATTGTCATGCCACGCATATAACATATTATGTTTATACGTTGTTTTCTTGTTGCAGTTGTTGCAGTGGCATCAAGGTCATCCACCAGTCGTGCTAAGTTATCTCACATGGTGCTAAAGTTTATGTTCATCTGACTGATCATCTACGTTGAGATTCAGACCTTAATCTAACTTGTTATGTTAGTTGTAAAAGTATTTTGTCCTATTTACTCTTAAAACCCCTGGATATCGAAAGGGGTCAGTTCTAGATTGGTTAAGATCTATCATTATACTATTCTACTTAAGCTAGAGCTGTAGTTATCTAATTCAACTCTTATATTTTACCGAGTTTTGTCAGTCCCTGAGTTCGGTAAATGTCATGGCGCAGCCAACAATTCCTGTATCGGATGACAGGACGGACCTCGCTGGATTACCCCCCATTCTGGTCAAAACCATCTCTTTCTCCACCGTATAGTTGGGATAGCTGGTTCGGCCAATTCTGTCTGGCATTAGGTATCAAGGATAATTTTGGATAATCAGGTATCAAGGATGTCTCGGACATTCTTATCGAGCCTGGCGAAGTGCACGGCGACCCACCTCCCAGGCCAGAATCTAGACCGGATCCAAAGTCTCAACAAGGATCGGACGAGATGCCGCCGCAAGACGACGAGTGGACGAAGCAAATGCCGAGAGGAGGAAGAAAGGCCCGCGAATCGGAATGACTTGGTTCTTTCATGAAGCAGAGGAGAGAGCAAGATCAAGACTATTTCTCGCTTTTGGCAAGGAAGGCAGAGAGAAATTAAGGCAAGCTTTTCCTCATGCTGACCTCAATCAGCGTTCGTTCCGAAAATTTGTCTAAAACTGTGTATACGCTTTCAAGGTGGAACTTGGAGCGCATTAAACTTTATATCTCTTGGTACATGGAGGCGAACAAGTCATTCTTATCTTTTCACTCAAGACTAACGGCTCAGGCGCCGTGCTGTAATTGGACCGAACAAGAAGAATGTAGTGTGGTAAGAGACCTATTTATAGGTCGTATCCGCGACTCGAATGTACAAAGTACGCTAATTCGAAAAAAATCCGGAAGTTGCTGGGACCTTAAAGCTGGCGCTGGAGCTGGAGAAAGGTGCATCTACATCTATGGAGTTTCAGAAGTTCTTACCCCACAACAAGTCCGCTTCTTCTTCCTTCAGTTTGCCCAAAATAAAACAAGAGCCAACATCCTCAGTTCAATCGCGTCGGGAAGGTGGTCAATCTTCTTCCCGAAAACAAAATATACCGGACAAGAAAGGTCAGATCTCATTCCGATCGTGTTACTTTTGCGGTAATACGTACTCCCCGCATCATCGGAAAAGCTGCCCAGCTCGAGATGTAGAATGTCTTACATGTAAAAAGAAGGGACATTTTGCGAAAGTGTACAACACTAGACGTTGACTTAATCGGGAGGAAAACTAGAAAATTGACCACATTGTGCAGAATCAAGATGACGACAGCGAAGCTGAATATGAAATTCTCAGTGTCCAGCCGCAAAGACAACGCCCTTCAGTTCAAATTTGTAGTTTGGAACTGCTAAAGTCGAATCTTGGTAGACCACGCAATTTGAGTGTGATGATACGTTCAAACGCAAAGTCATTCTATGCTACGGTAGACACAGGGAGTCCGGTGTCTTTCTTAAATAAAAGGACAGCGGATGTGTTACTTCGCCAAAACCCTAAGTCACGTTTCATCAGCGTTCAAAACTTGTCGGACGAAACTTCCCTTTGTAGATTATAACAAAAATTGCATCAAAATTTTTGGAAGTCAGACAATACCCATGGGATGGAAAAAGGATAATGCCACATTCTAAGTGTCAGAAAAAAAAACGAGATGCTTATTGGGGTTAGATCTTCGAAACTCTCTGGGTATAGATACAGTACAAAGAAATCCACCTCATGTGAAAACAGTACAAAATGTGGTGGAAAAATTGACCTCCGAACTGATTAAATCACATTTCGTCAAGAAGTTCCCGCTGTTATTCACTCGTTTGGGCAGGTCGAAATCTCATCAAGTACATACTACGTTTATGGAGCCGCTAATACCCAGACAAATAAAGGGCCGGAAGGTGCCAATCCACATTCAAGACCGTGTGTCGGAAGAACCACAATTTTTTGTTAGGTATGGACATATCACGAAGCTAGACAAGTGTACTACAGACCTTTCCATCAACCCCATTGTGATTACAGCAAAGAAGGTCGATTAAACTTGCAATGGATGCCAAACCCCTCAACGGTCAAATATAGAAAAACAAATATCAAATGCCGAATATTCAAGAACTCATAGATTCCGCAGCTCAGATCATTACCAGTGATGTACCTAGATTGATATGGTTCACATCTCTTGACTTAAAATACGCGTTTAGACAAATTAAACTTTCGAAACTAACAAGCAGTCATTGTAACTTCAACATCACTTGCGGAGAGTCAACAGGAGCATACAGATTCAACACTGGGTCCTATTATGGTTTGAGGTATATGCCGTCTGAGTTTCAAAAAGCAATGGACTGTACGCCTCAAGGAATTCCGGGGACGATTTGCTACTTGGATGACATCCTAGTGGTCTCAAAAGAGACGCTGTCACAACAAACTGAAACCGTTCATAAAGACCTTTCTAAGCTGGATGAAGATGGATTTGCGTTTAAGTTGTCCAAATGCAAGTTCGCAGTGGACAAACTCAAATGGCTGGGGTTCGATATACACTCATCTCATTACTACCCAAAAATCTCCAAAATAGAAGCAGTACGAAACTTGAAGGCACCTTGGACACTTAAGCAACTCCGATCCTTCATGGGTACGCTTAACCATTTTTCAAATGTTTATGCCTGGTTTACATAACCTCCATAACCTCATGTGCGAATTTCGGGAATCCCTTAAATTTTGCAATAAGAGGAAAATCATTTGGAACGAACCGCAGGAAACGGCTTTCCAAAAGATTCTGGAGCTCGTTGCAAAGATTACAGACTTGTTCCACTAGGACCCGGCAAGGCAAACGCGTATCAATTGCGATGCAAGCCACAGTGGCCTGGGAGCATGCCTGGAGCAAAACAACGACGCAGGTTTGTGGGTCCCTATTTTTTTCGCTTCTCGCTTCCTCAATTCTGCGGAACTCAAATGTAGTACTAACGGGTTAGAATTGTTAGCGGTGGTCTGGTCGTGCGAGCATTTCCGCGCCTATCTATTAGGTAATAAGTTCAAAATACTTACAGACCATAAAGCTATCATTTCGGCCCTAAAGGAGCACAAAGGAAATAAGCCATACCAGTCACGCCTAACACGCTGGCCGGACAGGCTTTTACCGTTCGACTATGACTTTAGGCATGTGCCTCTTGCTATTATTGGTAAGGCTGATTATCTTTCTCGAAACCCTACATTCGAAGCCCCCCTAATTCAGTATACGACGAGTTATTTGTCTTTAAAACATTAGACGATTTCATTCAAGCGTGTAGCTCGATACGGGCTGGTGCATGGGGACAGTCACCGAACCACACTGATAGTACTCTTGTTTCTAATAAATCCGCAGAAGATTTCCATTATATTCAGAAGTCAGGTGGCATCGGCTTTTCCGGTGTTTTGCTGCGAGAGGGCGAGTTCTCGAAGTCTATAACTATAAGCCAATCAAAATCGCTCACTATCAATAAGCAAACGCCGGTAGGGGGCGACGATTTATTATCCTATTACTACAATGTTGTATACAGTGGTTCTCCGCAAGAGGGCGTGAATTGCGTCACTAGTGATGTACACCAATCACAATCCCACGTAGTTTTACGTAAGAGGACACCAGTTAAGCGGCGTTTGTTGACGGAAAATGTCAACCAATCATGTTTGAGCGTTTGTTCAAGTATTTTGCCGCAAGAGGGATCCAACGTGGTTTCACGTAAGTGGACATTAATTAAGCAGCACTCGTTGACGGAAAATGTCAACCAATCATGTTTGAGCGTTCGTTCAAGTATTTTGCCGCAAGAGGGCTGCATTAATTTGACGAACGCGTTTAGCCAACCAGAAAATAGATGCTCAGAAAGAATCAAGCCGATAGAGGGCGACCAGTCGTAATCAAATTCTAGTTTGAATTTTACGCATCCTCAAGGTCAAAACAAGTCATTCTCAAATCAGTTCTGCTCATTTGTTAACTTAAATTCAGTTGGCCAATCACACTTTGAAATGACTTCGCCCATCAACGCCTCTGCTTTGCTTGATAACACAGCGATCAGAGAAAACCTCCTCAACTTTGTCGAAAACTTCGATACAGCCCCAAACCGTAACCCACCGAGCACCCCGTCTCCAACTTTTGTGGAAATGGCTTCGGTCAACCCGCCACATTCTCACCCTTTGCTCAGATACAACCTATTGCAGACAGTCAGTAATCAAGCCCGGAGGAATCGCCAGGGGCCCCCACGAACTCCGCTTCAGTTATTAGCAAGTTTTATAGAGAAATGCCGTCGCAGACGTCTCGCGTTCCGAGCTCGTCAGCAACAAAAGTCTCAAGGAGTCTGTTCAATATTACCGAAAACCTTTGACTCTCCAGATAAGAAAGAAATAGTAGGCCTTCCTAGCCTATTTGAGGTTGGATTGCTGGCGGAACTTAGCGATGAAGATGAGTTTCTCGGGCCGATGAAGAGGACAATTTTGGACAATGACGTTCAGTCCTTCTCGAAGCAAGGGGTGTGTATCTCACAGTTCTGGCCAATCGCGTCTGTGGTGGATAACTGTATCCTCATCTATAACAAACTGGTAATACCTTTCAAGCTCCGTTCGGCGATCCTGACCCGACTCCACAGATCTCACCCGGGCCAGCTAGCTATAATAGAGGCGGCAGAATATATCTGGTGGCACTTCATGAATCGCCAAATTGTCAAAAAATGCCAGGAGTGCATGGAATGTACGAAGTTCGGTAATAACCTGAAGTTATCTAAGACCTTTAACTCTTCGCTACCGCTCCCTCCCTTCGTTGCTACAAATTACAGTTAGATTTTGCTGGACCGTTGCAAGACGAAAAAGAAAAAAGTTTTCATCTTAGTCGCAGTAGACCGGTTCTCAAAAATTCCGTCCACTTTACTTACAAAAAAACCGTTTCCAGTTCCTAGAGGCCTATATATGCATCTACGGCATACCAAAATCTATACGCACAAATCACAGTTCTGGTTTTAAAAATACGCTGCTTAAAAGAATTCTGCAAAAATTTAAGGATTGATCACATATTCTGTCCAGTCGGTGATCACCGCGGCTGCGGGTTAGTGGAAAGAACTATACAGACTAGAAAGCGTAAACTGGGAACAGAGGCATTTAGTCCTCAGTACGAAGGTTTGAATAGTGTCCTCCATATGATTTTGGGTGATCGTAGGAAACCCAAGCACGCATCTCTTAAAAAACCTCCTTTCGAAGTTCACTTCGGTAGAAAACCAAATACGGAATTTTCTTAAGCTAGGGATAAGATCCTTGCTAACGCTTCAGATCAAAGTTCACTTGCGCGGAGCCTCTTAAAACCGGAAGACCGACACCGCCAAGACTATAGCCTGGACAGAGTGAAAGGGGTAAAACGTGGTAACCACAGTCCCGACGTGCCACTCCGCTTCTAGAAAATCGTACCTGGACAGAAAAGAGCCGACATCAAACAATGCGAGGCCCCTGGAGAACTTGCACTTGCTGCCAATCAATGGAATCACTTTAAACATAACATTAACGTGGAGACGGTACGAAATCTAATGCGAGAACTCGGATCACGCAATAATGAGATTGCTTATGCCCTAAAACCCAGCCTCAATAAAAGTACCCTAAGTAGCAGTACCAAGTAGAGAGCGTTCGACTTCACCGGGTCCTTCGAAACAGAGATCTTCCGCTAAAAGATCAGCAGCAACCCCTGCGCGGGGAGTCAGGGTTGGACAAATTCCTCCACTGAAAATTGCGCTAAGAGGTCAGGCCATTACGCTTACGTAGCGCTGTCCTATCACTATTATACCAGCCTCTCATCAACGGTCAACCGTCCCGCAAGTTGTCCTATTGTCAGATTCGGACACTCACGATCTCGGTCGCCCAGGAGGTCTCCTCGAGCGATGTCTACGCCCCATCAGGCCTCGAAAACTGCGGCACAGCTATGTCAGGGATCGTCGGCAAGGTCCGTGCCTCAAACGCCTTCTACTTTCATGCCTTTTTCTTTGCCGTTGGATTCGAACCTGGACGGTCTTAACGCTTCGAACATCTCTGACGCCACCCTACCTGCCGAGGCTACCTCAGCAGTACGAACCCCTTCACTGAGATCACGGTATGTCGCTCCAATGACCCCAGACAAATCAGCAGGCCCTTCATCATCTCTTGGTCAATGGGCAACTGAAACCGTCAAACCGGTTCCAACTCAAAAACAGGCAGACCCGATTCAGCCAACTGTGCAGGATGACGTGGAATCTCATATTTTTTCATGTTCAAGTACCAGGGCATCAAATAGGAATCGCCAAGCTCCAGCTCGCTACGTTAGTCCAGTTCGCCACTCAGTAAAGGAGGTGAAGGAAGGTGCAGCCACTTCACCGTCGACAGGTCAGGTCGAAAGCAGTTTTCCCGTCATCCAAAACGTCGCTTTGTTAGAAGAAACACCGAGGATTTCGTTCAGCCCAGTTCTTCATCTAACCGACAATCCCCAAAAGAGATCGTATTCAAAAAGTAAACAACTCTAGTATTAAAACTCTCTGTAAACTCTTAACAAAACTCCGTTTAGTACTGTCTTTATAAGCTGTTATACTCATGTTTAGGTTATTTTCATCCAGGCGGTGAGTTGTTCACAAGATTTTTTTGTTGCTCCCGGGTATGTCATGCCACGCAGATGAACGAGGATTTTGTTCAGCCCAGTTCTTCATCTAACCGACAATCCCCCAAAGAGATCGTACTCAAAAAATAAACAACTCTAGTATTAAAACTCTCTGTAAACTCTTAACAAAACTCCGTTTAGTACTGTCGTTATAAGCTGTTATTCTCATGTTTAAATAATTTTCACCCAGGCGGTGAGTTGTTCATAATATTTTTTGTTGCCCTCGGGTATGTCATGCCACGCATTTAACATATCATGTGTATACGTTGCATTCTCGTGGCAGTTGCTGCAGTGGCGTCAAGGTCATCCACCAGTCGTGCTAAGTTATCTCACATGGTGCTAAAGTTTATGTTCATCTGACTGATCATCTACGTTGAGATTCAGACCTTAATCTAACTTGTTATGTTAGTTGTAAAAGTATTTTGTCCTATTTACTCTTAAAACCCCTGGATATCGAAAGGGGTCAGTTCTAGATTGGTTAAGATCTATCATTATACTATTCTACTTAAGCTACAGCTGTAGTTATCTAATTCAACTCTTATATTTTACCGAGTTTTGTCAGTCCCTGAGTTCGGTAAATGTCACACATGAGTTGAATATGTTTTTTGAACTAAACGATATTTTTTTAAGGAAACAAAAATTTCATCAAACAATTAATTGGCAGAAGATCGTGCACAAAAATTTTTTTGGGATAGTTTTTTTAGTAGTTTCATCTAATTTGCATAAAAATTAAATAAATAACACTCTCAATTTTCAGCGTCATAGTAGCGTCATAAATTAGCGTCATAAAATGCAGCCACAGTTATTCGAGAACAAAAAAACTCAAAATGAAGAGATAAACTTTATTTTCTTAAGTGTTTTTCTAAAATCCTTGAGGTTTTTTGTGCGTTTGTAGGAAAACAATAAACATAATCTTAAGCCAAACACGCAACAGCTGTAATTTAAAATAATATTATTACTTGACTGTGAATATTTTTGTCTTGATAAGTCACGTTTTTTCACCATCTATATTTTTTTGAAAAATGAAATTGTTTTATACCAGCAAACTCTTTTGTGGTTTTTTAAAAATTTGTTCAATTTGTCTTCACTTTTCAGTTTTTTTTGAGCACTTGTTATTTATTGAAGTAATCTGGTTAGTTTATGTAAAAAAACCATCTTCTCTGTCAAAAACTGAGACGCTCAATTAAGTTAATAGTGATAATACATAATTTGGTCGAATACTGGTCAATTATAAATTCGATAAAAACCATATTTGAAAAAACTATTAATTTTCCCAATTGATTGGATGTTTAATTAAATCAAAAAAGCTGTTTCTTGTCGAAATTTTTTGATGTTTTTGAACGAGAGGGCTACTTTTGAAATGTTGGTAGATAGGTGGAGTGACCAAAACAATCAAGTCGAATCTAAACTATTGGAAAGATATCAAGACTTAGTTTCCAAAGCTTTTTAGGAGGCATTTAAGCTTTCAATGTTGTTTCAGCGAGTTGTTACAGCGGGCGTTAAACCTTTTAGAGTTCTGTCGATCATATTTTGAGCTAGAAGTGATTCCATTTTGAAGAAAACACGCATTATCTGGGGTGACAATTTCATGGAAAATATCGAGTTTTGAACTATCAGTTTTTGAATGAATTTTATTTTGTCATCTAAATGATACTGATGGGCTGAGCTCCAAGCCAAGCTTTTTCCTTTTGTAAATGTGAAAGCTTATTTTTCTTAATTTTTTTTTCAAATTGTATTGTTGTTATAATAATTGTCAAGCTGACTAATCAAGTTATTCTACTCATGTTTATTTTTCATTTTTTACTTTGTATAACACCACCCGTTGCACCATAAAATTGACTATTTGAGGCGGGGTGACAGAAAAGTTAGCCAATAATTGAAAATTTTCTTCAACTGCGGCATTTGGCTATGGTGGTCAAAAAGAGTCAATTTGGTCATGCTGTTTTAACAATCATCAGACATGAAAAATCATCATTTAATTGGCAATAACGAGATCAAGCTTATTAGGAGGGAATCCTAACATTCGCACTGATTAGGTATCATTGATAAAACAAATTGTTGTAAAAATTAAAAAATTAGGTTTCGGAAGCAATATTTTTAATCAGATCAATTACTGTAAGAATATTGTAGAGCGGAAATCAATCCTTTTTTTCCTGAAGAAATTCAAATTTTTTCGAGTGTGTGTGAACTTCTTGCTTAAAACTTTGAAGTTTATATCGAGGACACTATAAACGTAATATGAGTTTTATTCGGCGCAAAAAATATTACAAATATAAAAATCAGGATAATAAATCACATGGTTCCCTTATCCGAATTAAATATAAGTGCTTATTATATAACATTGACAGTCCAAATTTTGAATTTAAATGAAGATAAAACTAAAAACCATCGGAAAACAAGGACAGTTTGAACATTCAGCTCTCAGCCAATCTTTTCATCAATACTATGACAATTTTCCATGACAAAACATGCAAAAAAGTTCTAAAATTAAGGATCAAATTTATGATTTTAATCAATTTGAAATAGTTGCATTTCAAAAACCATATCGGTTTTCAAAAGATAGAGCAAGGTAAGTTTTTGCAAAAACTGACAAGCTTAAATCCAATGAAAGCAGAAATTTTCTTATCGATAAAGTGGCTCAAATATTTTTTGTTGACATGCATGCATGAAAATTGCTACTAAAAAAATCATCATAAAACCCAGTACAATTATTTGTGGAACAAATGCTCATCATAGTTTTTCCATATATGAAAACTATGTGATAAATTGACTGCATATTTAAATTGACTGCAAATTAAATTTCCAAAATAAAAAATCCAAAAAATTGTCTTTTTTAGCAAGTTCACTTTTATGGTCAAACAAACATTTACCGATGCAAAAATTGCATGCAAAAATTGTAAAATTTTGTCAAAAACGGAATCCAACATGCAAAAACTAAAATTAAAATAAAACTTTTGCGTAATGCCAAGTATGTTATTGTATGTTATTATGCAATTAGATAAGTTTTAATCTGCCAGAGCAAAATACAGCATTTTTTTCTTTTCAACCACTTAGCATTAAAGTAGAAATTTAAAAGCCATTAGTTTTCCTAGTTATTAATGTGAGTAAACTTGTAATTATTAATTGAAACGTCCTATCTCCACATGAGACTTTTCTGTGAGATTTTCCATGCGTTATCTCAGAATATGAATTATTGTTCCGACTTTCGTAACAAAATAACAGAATACTTAGGCTCGGCTGATTTTCGTAATGTTATGGGGGTTTAAAAATTGCATTTTGGCCAATTTGGGCCAATTAACACTCGACAGATTTCGCGCTATTAACGCGTAAGCGGGAATTTTATCCGTCTTAGAAATCGTTCCAAATTGGTTGAAAGAAGCTTATTTCTCGTAATTGTTTTGTTAAAAGGAGGAAAATCAATCATTTTTTTACTTAATATGGAGCCTGGAAGATGGTTTTCACAAAAATCATATTTTTTTTTCATTTTGCTTTTTTACTTTTAACTTTTTTCATGTTTTTACTGTAGACCTTAAAAGACAGTCGGTACATTCAGGGCTTCGCCTTGATACGAGTTTTGTTGTTCATTTTTGATTTAGGAAAACTCCTATGTGAATGGAGTTATATGGAAATGTAAGGCAAAAAAAGGCATTTTTTGATATTTAGAAGTGTAGAACCGATATTCAACCCTGTTTGTAGGTACATGGAACCTGCTTAAAAATCTGCTGATTATCTTTCTCGAAACCCTACATTCGACGCCCCCCCCCCCTAATTCAGTATACGACGAGTTATTTGTCTTTGAAACCATTGACGATTTCAATCAAGCGTGTAACTCGATACGGGCTGGTGCATGGGGACAGTCACCGATCCACACTGATAGTACTCTTGTTTCTAATAAATCCGCAGAAGATTTCCATTATATTCAGATGTCAGGTGGCATCGGCTTTTCCGGTGTTTTGCCGCAAGAGGGTGAGTTCTCGAAGTGTATAACTATAAGCCAATCAAAATCGCTCACTATCAATAAGCAAACGCCGGTAGGGGGCGACGATTTATTATCCTGTTACTACATTGTTGTATACAGTGGTTCTCCGCTAGAGGGCGTGAATTGCGTCACTAGTGATGTACACCAATCACCATCCCACGTAGTTTTACGTAAGAGGACACCAGTTAAGCGGCGTTTGTTGACGGAAAATCTCAACCAATCACGTTCGAGCGCTTGTTTAAGTATTTCGCCGCAAGAGGGATCCAACGTGGTTTCACGTAAGTGGACATTAATTAAGCAGCACTCGTTGACGGAAAATGTCAACCAATCATGTTTGAGCGTTCGTTCGAGTATTTTGCCGCAAGAGGGCTGCATTAATTTGACGAACGCGTTTAGCCAACCAGAAAATAGATGCTCAGAAAGAATCAAGCCGATAGAGGGCGACCAGTCGTAATCAAATTCTAGTTTGAATTTTACGCATCCTCAAGGCCAAAACAAGTCATTCTCAAATCAGTTCTGCTCATTTGTTAACTTAAATTCAGTTGGCCAATCACACTTTGAAATGACTTCGCCCATCAACGCCTCTGCTTTGCTTGATAACACAGCGATCAGAGAAAACCTCCTCAACTTTGACGAAAACTTCGATACAGCCCCAAACCGTAACCCACAGAGCACCCCGTCTCCAATTTTTGTGGAAATGGCTTTGGTCAATCCGCCACGTTCTCACCCTTTGCTCAGATACAACCGATTGCAGACAGTCAGTAATCAAGCCCGGAGGAATCGCCAGGGGGCCCCCACGAACTCCTCTTCAGTTATTAGCAAGTTTTATAGAGAAATGCCGTCGCAGACGTCTCGCGTTCCGAGCTCGTCAGCAGCAAAAGTTTCAAGGAGTCTGTTCAGTAATACCGAAAACCTTTGACTCTCCAGATATGAAAGAAATAGTAGGCCTTCCTAGCCTATTTGAGGTTGGATTGCTGGCGGAGCTTACCGATGAAGATAAACTTACCGATTCTGAAAAATTTTGGGTTGTGTTCATAACCAAAACAGACGGGCAAAGACCTTGGTTTTTTCAAAGTACCAAAATTTCTACCGTCTTGCATTTGAAATGCATAGAAAATTAACTGGATTGTTTTAGAACTGTCCTTCACATTTGATATTATGAAAGTACCAAACTTTAAAATTTGACTTTTTTAAAATTGAAGTTATAACTTTGCGCACAATTTTGTGTCTGTATGTTCCTAGATTCCAGAGACAAGTCTTGAAACTTGTTAAAATTTTGTCGGAACGAACCTAGGAAAAGAAAGAACAAAATCAGAACAAAGGGAGCTTCCTTGTTGCGGTATACGCTTACAATTCACAAAATGCACAAATTGGCCTCGTAAAACATAAGTGTAACCAAGACTACGTTATGCACAAAAAAAAACAAAGACATTTTTTCGTGTCGCCATAAAAAATGCTGTTCTGTGAAAAAATGTAAGTTCAATATCGTAAATTCACTGAATTTAGACTGACTTGTTTTAGTCTTAACGGTTAACAACAATAACTCAACACACACACAGACTTAACTAAGATTGGCAGGTATTAATTAATTGGTAGCCGCACCAAACACATGGCTAAACCAATGGCGCCAACAACGTAATATATATAGTTAGATACTAGGAATAATATATATATGACATTCTCTCAACAAACATTTTTTAAACAAATGTTTTAAAAATTATCCGACGGAGAAATGTTTGAGTTTTGGACCCGCAGTAATCCACCCTCTCCCTGGGCATAAGTTTTAGTTCAAATAGTTTTCTTTAGTTTTCTTTTTCACTCCATCTTTCAAGTGTATCTTCCTGCTTAATCCGTGTCCCGCTCTCTGTCTTTCCCTCCTTTGGTTGTTCTCGCTTTCAGTATACTGTCTATCATAACCCCGCCGAATTGGGATACCGCCGTCCGTTTTCTGGTACTTTTCCTCGATCCTGTCCCGTCTTGGTCTTCTGATTCCTGACTAGAATATGATACGAGGCGTAAACGTCGCCCTCGCTCCCCTTTCTTTTTAGGCTGTTTTTCCCCTTGTCCTTCGTTACTCAAATTCGGGGCACTTCCCCCGTGTTCGGTGCTCATGGTTTGGACCTCCGTGTCCACCCCCTTGGATGTTGGAACTCCGCTTCCTTCGGTTAAGTTGGGTCTTCCCGCTACTTTTTTTCTACATCTTTAGGCACCTTTGGTGCATTCTCTTCCACGTTCCGATCGGGTGCTGTTGTTGGGTTCCCTGCATATTTCGAAATTGTTATCGGCTCGTACTCCGAATCCGAGTCTGCCTCCTCCGCTGGTGAAATTTCTTGCGTTCTGTTTTCGGCCTTACTCTGTGTGCTTGTCCCCGCCGCCTGCTCGTTTAGTGCTCGTTTCAATTTCGCCCGACGTTTCAGCGCACTCATGGCTGGGGATGGTAGTGTTAGTTTGCTCGCAGTATTTGGCGCGTTGGTCTTGATGGCTTTCTCAGCAACCCCACTTTTCCTAAGTACAGAGCCATTTGCTAGAATTAGAGTGTGCTTAGAATCGCTAACTACTTTTTGGTTTATGGGTCTATACCTTTTATTGCTGTCCTTAAGTCGTTGGAACAAAAGCTCGGTCCGTTTACTTGGCTGTTTGGACTTGCCCCCCAAGGCCTGTTTCCCGTCAACCATTGGTGTTCCATCCGCCGCCGAAACTAGCTGATTCTGTGCCAGTCGTCTAGGGTGGTTCATGTGATCGACATCAAACTCAACGTCGGATTGTTCCTCCCAATCCGTTGCTATGGGTTGGGGAATCTTCTGATTTCTTGGGTCAGTAGAATCTAAATAGGCAGATTTTTGTTTCAACACTCTGGCCCAATTTAGGTTTTGCAGGGTTGGCTTTTTCGTAAGATTTCGAAGGACCGTATTTGCTTCCCTGCCGTGATGAGCTTCAAACGGCGATATTTTGAGAGTAGCATTCGGAGCAAATCTCAGAGCACTCAAGGCTCGTTCTATCATTGATTCTAAATTTCCGCTATCTTTTTCTTTTGCGTAAGTTAGGACAAAGCTTTTCATGCTGCCAATGGTACGTTCAACACATCCGGTTGCACGATGATCATTCACGGGTGAATAAATTATTTCTATTCCTTCGGAATTACAAAATGATTTAACTGCATTCGATGTGAAACTTGATCCTTGGTCCATAAAAATTTTCCTAGGGACACCATGTTGAGATATGTATTGCTTAATGAACTTAAGGACCTTATCGCTTTTATTATTCCCGCAGATCATTGCAGAGGGCCAGCGTGAGAATCGATCAACCGCTACCAAAACATATTTACTCGATTCATTTAAGTATCTAATCGGACCCCAAAAATCTAGCTGTAGACATTCAGTCGGCTCCCGTGGTTCATAGACTTTCCCAACGTCACCTTTAGCGCATAATGGTTTAAGGTTTTTACCTGCATCCGTGCATTCCTTGCACCCATCCGCAGCTGCAACTAAACTCCGGTGGAGATAGGGAAACCAGACATCCCTCGCAGCCTCGAACATATTCGAGCGCCCGTGGTGAAAAGAATGTAGGCGGTTGACTACAGCATTTCTGAGTGGTATGGGGATGACGAGCCGTTCGTCCATCCACAAGCAATTTTCCCGCACGTGGAAATCATGTGTGTGCTGTCCGAGGTAGGCACCCATTGCTCTGACCTTCTTTTCCAATTCCGGGTCCTTACTCTCCACCAGTTCTTTTATCGCACGCATCTGAGGGTCCCCTTTATAATTTGCTTCATTTAGCTTTAGGTTGAATAGTTCTGGCAGTGCACTGCTTTTTCGGATGATCTTACAGTCCCGGTGAATCACTGACATGATTACATTTCCTCCTGCTGGGTATGCCGCCGGAAAGAGTTCGCCTCCGAATGCCGAAGGAATGGAGATTACCGTGTTGCATCGGATGTCCCTAGTGTGATGTGTTTCCGCCTCCAGTCGTGCGTCTACTATCTCCACCTCGCTGCTACTGCCGCTTGTGATTTCTGGATGTTTCAACAATAATTTATTTAGTTTCTTCAAATTAAGTGATGTCATTGTAGAGGTATTTGTTTTGATAGATCGATAACTTGTTTTGTTAAAAGGAGGACTACTGTTTACTGTGGAATTAATATCAGACTTACGTAGTTTACATTCAGTAATTGACTTTACTACTTTCGCGCCCTCCCGGTCAGCACACTCAGCTATTCGTTTTACTGGCTTCTGATTGGTTGGCCGACGGTCACGCGTTTTGACGCCCTCTTCCGATGGAAAGTTAATTCTATCGTTTCCAACTTGTATATCTTTAGCTGAAACAACTGATTTCCTTGATGCTTTAAAAATCCCTTTATTGGTATCAATATAACCGAGTGAATTGGTAATTGACTGCAATTTAGCAACTGTGAACGTGTTATCATAAAGACTAACTCTTGTTGCTTCCCCTACCGGATGCCTTGATAGATAATCCGCCAGGCCAATTTTAGCCCCAGGCATATGTTCAATGACAAAATCAAAGGGAATAATTCTGTCGATCCAACGAGTCAACCGACTGAACATAGTTTTGTTTTTCTTATTGTTTCCATTCAATAATGATACCAAAGCCTTGTGATCTGTCACTACAGTAAATTTCCGCCCGAAAATGTAATTTCTAAAATGTAAAACTACCGCCAGCATTTCTAGCTCATTTGTCGAATATTTCTTTTCGGCCGTATTTAGAAACCGGGACGCAAATGATATAGGTCGCCAACCCTCGGCGCCTAGTTGTTCGAGTACAGCCCCCAAACCATTATGGCTTGCTTCGCACACGATACGTATGTCCTTATGCACATCAAAATGCTTAAGTTCGACTATGTTCGCGACTTGTTTCTTAAGCGATTCGAACGCTGTTTGGCAGTCAGTTGTCCATAGGAATTCGTTTTTCTTACTAAGCAACGGACGTAGGGGCCGAAGTTTCTGCCAACGCAGGTAAATATTTGTGAAGGCTATGGATTGACCCCATGAACGACTTCAATTGTGAGAGCGTTTTCGGGGCAGCTAATTTGTCAATCAGATCTGTTTTCCGCACCATTGGTGTAATCCCTGATTTTGTAATCCGGTGGCCTAACCATTCGCAAGTATTTTTCGCAAATTGACATTTTTCTAGTTTCAAAGCCATATTTTCTCTATCTAGTTTCGCCAAAATCTTCTCCACCAGGGCAATATGTTCGATTTTGGTACCTTTTGAAATCACTAATATATCATCAATGAAGGCATGCGCACACGGAAATTCAGCCAGAATGGCATCCATGACCCGTTGAAATTCCGCCGGCATGGTTGTCAATCCATAGAATCCTGTCTTGAATCGATATGTACCGGCAGATCGGCCTCCCACCAACGAAAAATTACAATGTTTGCTAGTATTTTCATTTAAAGGAAGTTGACCGTATGCGTACGTGAGATCCATCGTTGTAAAAAAAACATCCCCCTGTTTACGTTCGCTGATCGTTTGACCTACAATGTCCATTAGTTCTTCTATATTGGGTATTTGATATTTATTTTTATGCAATTGCTTGTTCAATTCTCTGGACTCCAGTGCAAATTTTACCGAACCATCCTTTTTCACTGTGATGACAATAGGTGAAACAAAATATTTTTCTGAACATTCTTCCAATTTTTGAATATATACTTGTTCCAAAAGTTTGTCAATCTCCTTATCGACTTTTTCCTGTAATGTTATGGGCACTCGCCTACCCTTTTGTTGAATTGGAGTTAGATTCTTGAAAAGTTCGGCTTGCACTTTATAATTTCGGATGCGCCCTACCCTGCGAAAAAGATGTTGAAATTGCTTACTGAAATGTGTCTGCCAATCATCCAAGTCATTGTCCGTCGCCATAGTTCCTTCCTTTGAATGTATGCTGTTCACCCCTTCTGTCGATGGTGCTTGTACCAACATCAGTCCTAGTGATGGCATTAAATCCCTGCCAAAAATAGACGGTCTGCACCCTCCGATGACGTTGATATCCGCCGAACAAGTCCATCCATTGGAATGAAGCGTGACTTGCATCTTCCCCAGAAATTTTAACGGATTGTTGCCGTAGTCGCGGAATTGGTCGTTTTTCGGATCCAGCGGTTTCAATAGTACGTTGACTGTTCCCAGGGTACGTTTTAGTTCCCCAATAGTGAAAATGGATATTGGCGAACCACTATCAATCCAGGCCTGGGTTGCTTTGCCATTGATTCTCAATGCTAGTTTCGCCCCCGCGACTCTCAATTCTGTTTCCTCCTTCCGCCGGATTGACATAACTACATACTCCGTTGAACTATCCGAATCCCATCCATGTGCCGGTGCCTTTGAATCAGTCACCCATCCGACGGAACTGCCATAATTGGATGCACTCTGCTCCGGATAATCTTGTGCAATCCCGCCCTCAGTGTCGTCCTCATTTATCATGCCTACGCAACCCCTATTCGCCGATCGACGTCCTCTACAAGTTCGCTCGTAATGTCCAGTTTTCTTGCAAAAATTGCAGGTTGCGTTTCTTG